ACATTACACAGCATATATTGCACCACATATAGTGCGCAACGTAGAAGGTCCACATATATTGCACACCATATACTGCTAGAAACACATTGTTTGCGGCCCACGCTGGCTAACATTTTTCATCCGACGAGAAAAATAATTTTGGGGTAAATCAATTCTGTAGTCGATCCCCGATTCGATTGGTCGCGGTCACCTCGTCGCAGAACGACGCCGCCACCAGGAACGCCCGCCCGTGGACTGAAGCGAAGGATCGGTCCGTCGGGGAGCGTGAACGCCACTCGAAGACCAGAAAAAGCAGTCATCATAAACGTTCAGATGCACGCGCAGAGTGCTTGGCTCGGCGTTGGGCCCATCTCCCCGCCACCCCTGCACGGCGCCCCCCGCACGGTCCGCGCGCCGGTAAACGGGTGTGCGGTCCAGCGCCGTGTCAAGAATTCCGCGCGGACCTCCGAACGTTTACGGTCATATGTTTCGATTGTCTTCTGTCTCTGTGGACCGCAGCAAAGAATGGGTCCATCGGGGAGCGTGTGCGACTTGAGGTGCGGGGCGGGGGTAGAGAGACGAGGATGGAGGAAGAGGAGAAGGAGGACCAGAGTAAACCCAAGATGCATCAACCGATGCTGCAGTACACCCTCCCGTCCGAAGTCCCGTCCTCATAAGTCCAAACAAGTATTCCTTTGCATTGCGGGCGACCCCCCTTGAATGACGAGAAGCCAGTCGGTCCGCCAGTCAGACGAGGGCCTTGTTGTAAACGATAATCCCTCACTTGGAAGACGCCTATGGCCCTCCATCCGTCTAGGCGTTGCAGGATGTCTAAGTCGTGCGCGTATGCTTCGCCGAAGTCTCACGCGAGGGCCCCGTTTCGAAAGAGGAGGCTCACTCCATCCGTGCTAGTTGCTGCACAATATGGATCGCCAGGTCGTAGAGGTCAAGGAAGGGTCACATGAGTGTAAATGGTGGACTTTGTAGTCGAACGTGCGCGTAGCCAAGGGGAGCTCGTGGCCAGCTGCACGAAGCCATCGACAGAAGCAGAGGGGGGCTCAGGGCACAAGATCACCACCGCCCAGGCCAAAGACACTGCAAGTACGGAGGGCACGACGATTGACCTACGCGAATCTCACCATGTCACGGGTTGCTGAACGGTCTCACAGCGTTGGAGGTATCCCGGCTGCGCGGTAAGAAGTTCCAGGTGGCCCTGGCGCTGTCCGCGCGCGCAGACCCCGAGCGCGGTCTGCTCTCCAGCATGCTCTCCGGCACGTTGGCAGCTACAGCTTCGAAGATGCGGCTGCGCGCGCAGCGCCTGCGCCGCCTCGCCGTCAGCGCGCGTCCCGCGTCAACCGAGAAGCGCTCTCGCGCGGCGAACGCCCTCGCAAACCTCACTGGCGCGCCGCCCGCGAAGGCGGCCCGCACGCTCCACAGTACGCCATCAAGGGAGACCGGGGGGGGGAGGCCTTCTGGATCCCCGTGTAGACTGAAACGTTGGACTACCGTTTTGCCGCGATGCTTGCTAGCTTGCCGACCGTGGCGCGCAGTCTTGCGCTCCCTCCTGCATTTGTTCCGTGCCGTGCTCTCGCGGCCACGGTGTGGTTCAGCCTCTGCCGCCTCGTATGTCTCGCAGACTCTCCAAAGTATTTGCCGGCGCTTCGCTTGGATGATCATATGCGTCGGCCACCACAACGTCTCCCTGGAGCTTGCGATTCAAGCTCTCGCGACCAAGGTGCTGCTCAGCCTGTTGTGCCCATGTTCTCGGATCCACGGTGCTGCTCAGCCTGTGTTGTAGCAGACAACTCTCTTGCCATTCCGTTCGGACCGTAGAAGTGTTGTCCAGCGTACTCGACAAAACATTGCCGCTGATCGTGGTCATCATCCGCAGCTCCGTCTTGAGACGATCATGCGTCTTGGGCTCGCATCATGCACCGATAATATTTGCATAACCATGAGATCATATACAGGAACATACGCAGAACACATTCGCGCCAAACCACCATAGAGGAACAACACATAGGAACATGCGTAAAACACATAGGATCACCAGAACCATCATCACCATAACCACCATCAGCAAAATCACCCTCATCGCTTAAATATTTGGGACATTTGGAAATCCACGCACCTTAGCTGCTATTAGGGCACCTTGATCGGGTAATTCCTCGGGCCTTCTGGAGCCCCTTATGGAGGCCTTCTCGGCTTGGACAAAACAATTCGGCTGATTGTGCGGTTTTGCGCGGCCGGCTGGGTGGCCAGCGCAATAAATCGACCCCCCCGGGGGTGTCCTGACACAAACTAAAAACCAAATGAAATTCAGCACTCCGGGCACCCCTGTGGCAAGACCACAGGGGGCGGCGGATCGAAGACGCCTACGGCGAATCACCGCCGCCCCCTGCCTTTTTGGAAGCGCCTACGTGGCCGAACGTTGAGGCCAGATCTGCCAAGCTATCGGACCATGTGTTCCCCGAATCGGTTTGGAAAGCATTCGGGGAACACGTTGGCATCTTGAAGATCATCTTGGCCGCCTGGAGGCCATTTTCACCCTTTCGGGCCTTCTTGGGGGACGTCTTGAAGGGCTCTTGGGCCGTCTTGGAGGCCATCTTGAGCGTCCTGGAGGCCTCTTGGGCCGTCTTGGGTGCCTCTTGGGGCCGTCTTGGGCCTCTTGGGCGATCTTCGGGGGCTCTTGGGCCGTCTCGGGCCGTTGGAAGGCCGAAAAAAAAGCAAATGCCACAATCCTTCAAAAACTCTTTGGAAAATCAATTATTTGGGCCTTTTCGGGCCTTCCTGGAGGCCCTCTTGGAGGCCTCTTGGGCCGTCTTGGGCCCTCTTAGGGCCATGTTCGGCCGTCTTGGTGGGCTCTTGGTCCGTCTGACGCCGTCGGAAGCCGTTTGGGGGGCCTCTCTGAGCCGACTTGGGGCCCTCTTGGAGGCCTCTTGGGCCGTCTTGGGCCCTCTTAGGGCCATCTTCGGCCGTCTTGGTGGGCCTCTGGCCCGTCCGACGCCCTCGGAAGCCGTTTGGGGGGCCTCTCTTAGCCGATTTGGGGCCCTCTTGGAATGCTCCAGGGCCGTCTCGGAGGCCATCTTGGGCGTCTTAAAAGCCTCCTGGGCCCGTCTGGGGGGCCTCTTGGGGCCGTCTTGGGGGCCTCTTGGGCCGTTCTGGAGCCATCTTGGAGGCATCTTGGGCGATCTTTGGGCGATCTGTGGGGGCTCTTGGGCCGTATCGGGCCGTCGGAAGGCCGAAAAGAAGCAAGTGTCAAAATCATTCAACAAAATATTGAATATCCGTGTTTTTGGCCTTTTTCTGGCCTTCCTAGAGGCCCTATTGGAGGCCTCTTGGGCCGTCTTGGGCCAGCTTCGAGCCAACTTCGGCCATCTTGGTGGGCTCCTGGCCCGTCTGACGCCGTCGGAAGCCGTTTGGGGGGCCTCTCTGAACCGATTTTGGGTCCTCTTGGGGCGCTTCGGAGCCGTCTTGGAGGCCATCTTGGGCGTCTTGGAGGCCTCGTCTTTGTGCCCTCTTGAGGCCGTCTTGGGGGCCGCTTGTGCCATCAAGGGGCCCTCTTGGAGGCCTCGTAGGCGATCTTGGCGGCCTCTTGGGCCGTCTTGAGCTGTCGGAAGGCCAGGAAGAAGCAAATGTCAAAATCCTTCAAAACCCAATGGAAAATCAATGATTTTGGCCTCTTCGGGCCCTCCTTGAGGACCTCTTGGAGGCCTCTTGGGTCGCCTTGGGCCGTCTTGGAGGCCTCTTGGGCAAACGTGGAGGCCTCTTAGGATCTCTTCGGCCGTCTTGGGCCGTTTTGAGCCCATCTGAGGCCGTCTTGGGTGCATCTTGGGCCATCTTGGAGTCCATCTTGGCCGTCTTGGAAGCATCGTGGAGGCCATCTTGGGTCATCTTGGAGCCATCTGGGGCAGGAAAACCCTCGGCAACCACCTCTGGAAGATCCTTTCGGGTGGCCGGCGGGACGGGCTGAAGCCCCAGGGGGAGTTCTTTTTGGAAAAAGAACCAAAACCAAAACCGAAATCGTCGAGCACGCCAGGCACGCCTGCGACGAATCGACAGGGGGCGGCGGATCGAAGACGCCTACGGCGAATCACCGCCGCCCCCTGCCTTTTTGGAAGTGTCTATGTGGCCGAACGTTGAGGCCAGACCTGCCAAGCCATCGGACCATGTGTTCCCCGAATCAGTTTGGAAAACATTCGGGGAACACTTGGGCATCTTGAAGGTCCTCTTGGCCGTCTGGAAGCCATTTTGACCTTTCCGGGCCTTCTTGGAGGGCTCTTGGGCCGTCTTCGAGGCCGTCTTGAGCGTCTTGGAGGCCTCTTGGGCCGTCTTGGGTGCCTCTCGGGGCCGTCTTGGGCCTCGTGGGCGGTCTTCGGGGGCTCTTGGGCCGTCTCGGGCCGTTGGAAGGCCGAAAAAAAGCAAATGCCACAATCCTTCAAAAACTCATGGAAAATCAATGATTTGGGCCTTTTCGGGCCTTCCTGGAGGCCCTCTTCGAGGCCTCTTGGGCCATCTTGGGCCATCTTAGGGCCATCTTCGGCCGTCTTGGTGGGCTCCTGGCCCGTCTGACGCCATCGGAAGCCGTTTGGGGGGCCTCTCTGGGCCGACTTGGGGCCCTCTTGGGGTGTTCAGGGCCGTCTCGGAGGCCCATCTTGGGCGTCTTACAGGCCGCCTGGGCCGTCTTGGGGGCCTCTTGGGGCCGTCTTGGGGGCCTCTTGGGCCGTTCTGGGGCTGTCTTGGAGGCCTCTTGGGCGATCTTGGGGCGATCTTGGCGGCCTCTTGGGCCGTCTTGAGCTGTCGGAAGGCCGAGAAGAAGCAAATGTCATGGTTTGTGCTTGCACGTGAAGGAAGTCTCGAGTTGTTGTCTGTTTGTCGCCCATTGGCTTCACAGAGCATGAGTCGCCTCTTGATGATGATGCAACCCTGCCGTGGTAGATCATGTTTTTGGCGAGCCTCCTCTTGCCTCTGTTGCCATCTGGCTCTATTTTCCTACTTTGAGCTTCTCTGGTCCAGAGTCGATGGACGCGGTCGCCATCCCTGGCGGGGCGGCCGCGTTGCCGGCCTGGGCGGTGCTGGCGCTGGAGGCCGCGGCTTTCTTTGGGCCAGGCTGGGGCCCAGGGCAGGCGGCCTGCCCAGACCTCTCGTGCCCTGCCTGCCCAGCGTGCCCAGAGGCGGCGGCGTGCGCGGCCTGCCCGGAGGCCGCGGCCTGCCCGGCTTGCGAGCCGCCTCCCTGCGCGGCTTGCCCGGCCTGCGAGCCGCCGCCGTGCGCGGCCTGCCCGGCCTGCGAGGCGAGGGCGTGCCCGGAGGCGTCGGCTGGCGAGAAGGCGGCTGAGAAGCTCGCTGGAGCGCTGCTTGGAGGCCTGGTGCACTGGCTGGTGGCGAAGGTGGTCACTCGCAGGCATGGCGTCGCTCGTGGGGTGGCTCCGCGGCGACGCGGGGCGGGAGTGGTGGACTAGAGCGCTCCCAGGGGAGCACGTGGTCTGCCGTTTCGCCGACGACGACGTCGACCACGAGCGGGTGCTGCTGCACTACGCGGCGGAAGGCGAGTGGGTCGTCCTGACCCCAGATGGTGACATCTACGCTGAGGACATGAGCTGTGGGGACCCCGAGACTGGGCCTGCCCGAGCCTTCCCGCTGGCACTGCGGACGCGCAAGATGCGGAGGCTGTATCGCTTCCGTGAGGAGCTGGGGCCCGACGAGCTGGCCGACGCGTTGACGCGGGGCCGTCAGGCGGCGCTGGAGATGGACGCTGCCTTGCCTGAGCCGAGGGAGGCCGTGGCCGTGGGCGGCCAGCGGGTCACCTGGCAGGAGGCTGCTGGTAAGCTGTCGGCCGCGGAGCGGGCCGGCCTGCTGCGCCTGGGCATGGCCGTGGCTCGCCTGGGCGGGAAGCTGCTGGAGGCTCCTGGTGCGGGTCAGGCCTGGATCGCCCTCAGCGGCGGGCCCGGCGCTGCGATCGGAACGGAGGTCGACGTGGCGAATATCGAGGGCCTGAGCTTCGAGGACGGGCCCGAGCCGTTCGGTGTGCTGAGGGCCGCCGACGGCGGCATAGTGCGTCTCGCCCGGCTGGGCGCAGGGCCGGCCCCTGGGCGCGTGGCCGAGGAGGCCGCAGTCTGGCATGGCCTGGACAGAGGCCAAGCGCGTGCCCTGGGCCCCGAGCGCCGACGCGCTGCAGCCGCGGCGCCGCTCGAGGATGAGGAGCCCGCCGAGCCCATGGGCGGCACGGCTGCGCCCGAGCTGGCGCTGCCGCCCTTGGCGGAGCCGCTGGGCGAGGAGCGCGACGCCGACGCCCGCACGCTCTGGGTCGACTACGACGAGCAGGGCGAGCGGTTCAAGCGATGGCGGGACGTGGTAGGCGAGTCGAGGCAGGAGCGCTACCCAGACGCGAAGGTGGACGGACCGCCTGGGGCTCTCCACATGTGCAAGCACATGGAAAGGCACGGTGGCGACCCGCGCCTCTGGCTCGACCTCTTCATTCGCATGAAGGGCCTCGGGCAGAATGACCGCGCGGTGCACGAGCTGAGGACCATCGTGGAGGCCTTGTACCAGGGCGGGGTATATGACCAGTTGAACATGGGCGGCCTGATGATGGTGGAGGTGTTGACACGCCGCGTGGCCGCAGTGGTGGATGCCTACGCGGACCCGTCCAAGCCGAGCTGGACGAACGCACGCTTCTTCGAGGAAGTGAGCTCGGTGGAGGACGTCTCAGGGCCAGAGCTCAGGGGCTACGTCCACCGGCGGGCGAAGGAGCAGCACGAGATGGAGCAGGCGCAGAATCGGGCGCGCACGCTACGCGGGGCGCCTTCAGAGACAGTCGACGGAGCAGAGGGAGCTGGAGGTGACGCAGCAGGTGCGGGGCGCGGTGGCGGCCGAGGCGGCCGCGGGCGCGGCCGCCGGGCCAGGGGCGTCGCCTCCACGGGGCCATGACGGCCCCCGGGCCCGGGGGCTTCAGCCCCTCCCCCGGGCCCTTTTTGCCGGGGCACGACGGCGGCCGCTTGCCGCCCTCGCGAGGGGCCCGCAGCTTTCTGCCGCTCCCGCTGCTGGGCGACGCAGGCCGCCGAATTCGCGGCAGGTCTAGCAGGGCGAGGCAGTTCGGTCGTGAGTCTCGGATTGCGTTGGAGGTCAACGGGATCGTCGACGCCATCAACTGGATGTCGGGGTACGACTCGCAACCTGGCCCAGCCAATGGCATGCAGCGGGATGTACTTGCACGCTTCGAGGGCCTCGTTCGGGGCCGGCAGCCGGACGCCAAGTTGCAGGAGCCGCAGGCGGCCCTCCGGGAGCTGCTGCGGGGCCGCTCGCCATATGACGGGCGCGGCGGCCCGACGACGGTCGCCTCCTACAGTGCAGGGTTCGTCAGCATGCCGACGGACGTGAGCGACTGCCCGCGTCTTGAGGACCTCTTGCCTGGCGAGGCCCTTACCTTCCTGCGGGAGCGCCAAGAGCGCATGCTACGAGAGTCACCTTTGCCGACCGACGTCGAGCCGTACTTCGACTCGGTCCTCAAGTTCAACCACAAGGAGTACCGCGGCCTGGTGCGTCGGCTGCTGTCAGCTGGCATTCTGGGGTGGACTCTGACACCGAAAGAGAGAATTGGGATGTTCTTTGTGTGGAAGGATGGGCGGCGCCGACTTCGCCTCGTAGTCGACGCCCGCCGCGCGAACGCCCACTTCAGGGATCCTCCTGGGGTGGAGCTATTGAGCAGCGAGGGCCTCGCCAGAATCGAGGTGCACATGCCAGACGCGGGCTTCTCGAGTTACGAGGACCTCCGCGCCGCGCTGGAGGCGCAGCAGGTGTACATCGGCATGGCGGACGTGAAGGACTGCTTTCATCGAATGCGGATCGATTCAGCCCTCTCGCAATACTTCTGCCTGCCGCCTGTCAAGGCTGGGGCTTTCGGCGTGACCGAGGTCGAGGGGACCAAGGTGCAGGCGTCGACGGCCATCTACCCTTGCTGGCAGGTCCTGCCCATGGGCTTCAGCTGGTCTCTCTACTTCGCCCAGCGGGCCAACGAGGAGGTAAGCCGCCGCAGCAGCGCGCTCCTCAGGGGGCCCAGTCTGTCAGACCATGGGCCACCGCTCGTGTTCGCGCCTGGCAGGGCGCCCCAGGAGGTCAGGCACTACGTGTACGTCGACAACTTGGGGGTATTCTCGCTATTCTCTGAGCTCGTGAGCGGCGTGATGAACCAGCTGACGGGCGAGTTCACCGAGCTGAACCTACTGTTGCACAAGGACGAGCTGGCGCCGGGCATGGCAGTGGCGCTTGGCACGGAGATCGACGGCAGCCAGTTGCGCACTCGAGTGACCAGTGATCGGTTCTGGCGCTGCCGCCAGGCCGTGCGGGGCCTCCTAGCCCGCCGCCGTGTCAAGGGCTGGGCCGTGGAGGCAGTGCTGGGCCACCTAACCTTTTGTGGCCTCTGCTCGCGCGGCACCTTGTCAGCTTTCAATTCAGTGCACGGCTTTGTGCGAGCCCACTATGACGAGGCGGCCGTGCTATGGACCGAGGCGCGGCGAGAGCTGGCCGCCTTCAGCTCCCTGATGTACTTCCTGGAGTCAGATTGGTGGCTGCCTTGGAATCCGATGGCGCAGCAGTCAGATGCCAGTCTTCACGGCTACGGACTGGCAAGGGCTTTCTGGCCGCAGGAGCTGGTGGAGTCAGTCGGGCGCGTGCCTGAGCGGGCCCGCTTTCGCCGGCGCTGCGCGCACAGTGCTCGAGAGGCTGCGCTCTGTGCAGCTGGCTTCGGTATGAGTGAGAGTGGAAAATGGGAACTCAAGGGCCTTCCCGAAGATGAGGAGGAGCTGGGCCAGTGGGACGTTGTGAGGGACTTCCCGGAGGTGCCCGCCCAGGGGCTCCGCGCAGGCCTGTGGGAGCCCTGTTTCGCGAGAGCCTGGCAGCACCCTGAGGGCATCTTGACCTTGGAGGCCCGAGCCCTGGTCAGCAGCATCCATCGTATCGCCACCACGGTCTTTGGGTCCCATATACGTCAGTTACTGCTCTGTGACAATATGTCGGTCGTGCTAAGCTTCAATCGGGGAAGGAGCTCGTGTTTCAACTTGTTGGTTCAGATTCGTCGATTTCACGCTGTCTGTCTAAGCCGAAACATTCGTTGTTCGATTCGTTGGATACCCAGTGAGCTCAACTGTGCCGACCTTCCCTCACGGCTATTTGATCCTGACGGCGCAAAATCCACCCTTCTGGCTGAGCTGTTGGAGCTCGAGAGCTCCCAGGCGCGCCCAGGGCGGGTTCCCGCCTGGGCCGCGCCCGAGCGGGCGGCCGATGGCGCCGCGGCCCGCGATGCTGCCTGCGCGCCCTCAAACGCCAGACGGGCGGGGCCGCTCTCGGAGCCCCCAGCAGGCCAGGCGAGGCGCGAGGCTCGAGACGGGCCGCCGGCGCACGCGGCAGCTGGCGCCGTCTCGCCCGGAGCCTGGCCTGCAGCCGTCAGCCCGCGGCCAGGAGGCGAGGCGCACGCGGCAGCTTGTCCCTGCGCCGCCGATAGCGCCGCAGCCGCTGCCGGCAGCTCGGCGGGAGCGTCAGCTGGGCGAGTCGGGGCTCCTGAAGACGGCTGTGCTGAGCCGTCCCCTGCCGCGGAGCCTGGGGCGAGTGGTGGAGGACCTGACAAGGGTGCCTGTGCCAGCGGAGCCCGCGAGGGGAGCGCGAGAGAGCGTCGGCTCCTCCGACAGCGGGAGCTCCGAGCCCGAGGTCGTGACCGGCGCCGCGCGGCAGCGCAGGCTCGCGCAGTCGCGGAAGCGCAGGGCCCGCCACTACGGGATGCCCACCGGCGAGGAGGGCTTCTCTCTCCTGGAGCGGGAGGCCGTGCGAACCCCGACGCAGCGCGAGTACCAGAGGGCCTGGGACGGATGGCGGGACTTTGCCCGTCGGAGCTGGCCCTCGGTGGACATCGACGAGGTCATGAAGAGCAGGGACGACTCCGTGGTAGACTCGGCGTTGGTGAGCTACCTGAACGGCTTGCACCAGGCTGGGACTCACCTCTCCTGGGCCGAGAAGTTGATGGCTGGCGTCCTGCACTTCAACCACGACTTCTCGCGCAACGGTGCCCGGCGCCTCCCCCGGGGCTGGAGATGCCTCCGGGCCTGGCGGCGCCTGGAGCCGCCGCGGACGAGGAAGCCGTGGGCGCTGGCGCTGTGGTGCGCAATGGCGTGGCGCATGAAGGCCCGTGGCAGCCTCCAGATGGCGGTGTTCACTCTGATAGCGGTGAGCGTGTACGCCCGCCCCAGCAGCCTTTTGCTTCTGAAGCCGGCCTGCCTGGTGCCGCCAGCGGCGGGGGCGTGCGAGTTCTGGACCTTGAGGCTCTTCCCGGAGGAGGAGGACCTGCGGGACAAGACGGGCCTGGGGGACGTGTCGCTAGAGTTAGACTCGCCCTGGATTCGCTTCTTGGACCCCGTGCTGCGTCAGATGAAGAAGGAGGGACACCCCGAGTGCCTGTGGAACTTCACGTACCCAGAGTACTGCAAGATGTTCAGCCTATGCCTCCAGGACCTGCAGGTAAAGGCCAAGGTGGTGCCGTATCAGATGCGCCACTCAGGGGCCTCGATAGACACGGCAAGGAGGTGGAGGCGGCTGGCCGACGTGCAGAAGCGCGGACAGTGGAAGACCAACCGCAGCGTCGTCCGCTACGAGAAGCATGCACGCCTGGCAGCCACGTGGGCGACCCTGAGCAGCGCGCAGCAAAACGTGTTCCTGGTCTGCGATGCTCAGCTCGCGGACATCATTTTGGGTCGCGCCTCGCCGGTCGACTTGCGGGAGCTCGACCACGCCTGACTGGCCAATACCTGGCCGACTGCTTCAGTGGCAAGGGAGGCGTTGGGCGCGCCGCAATGGCAATGGGCGTGCCAGCCAGGTTCTGGGACACGCTGCACGGGCCAGGCGGCGACCTTACCCGACGAAAGGTCTTGCGAGGCCTGTGCTCCGACATCGCTGCAGGCCGCGTCTTGGCCGTGATGCTGGCACCGCCTTGTGGGCCCTGGACCACCGCTGCCGACCGAGTGGGGGCCATCCGCTCGGCATCGCAGCCCTGGGGACTCCCGCAGCATCTTCTGAGTGCAAAGCAGCTTGCTCGCCTGGCGTCTGGCAATAAGACCATGCGTGCCGCGCTGTCTGTCATCAAATGTTGCGAAAAGTTCAGAGTTCCCTGTATACTCGAGCATCCTGTGAATTCACGCGTTTTTGTCACGAGAGAGGTTCAGGGGTTTATAGATCGGGGGGCCGTAGTAAGATGTCTCGACCAGTGCCAGGAAGGTGCTCGTTGGCGCAAGCGAACGAGATTCTTGTGTCTGAACATAGATGTCCATGATAGCAGCTGTCTCGATCGTCGGTGTAATCAGATCAACGGAATATGTAGCAAGTCTGGCCGTCAACACATCGTGCTTGAGGGCAACGCCCCGAATGGTGCGAAATGGACCGCTATCGCTGCTGCCTATCCACCCGCCCTCTATAGGAAGCTGGCCAGAATTCTTTTGAGCGAGTGGCGCGCGTCCCTGTATAATCGCCCTAGCCCGCCCTCCCAGTAAACGTCTTTGGGTACGGCTTGGGTTGAAGTTGGCCTCACAGCTGAGCGCCAGGACGCGTGGCTGTTCGTTCATCAGGGTCTCCGCTTTGAAAACAGCTTGTGACGTCCTGGTTTGTGCTTGCACGTGAAGGAAGTCTCGAGTTGTTGTCTGTTTGTCGCCCATTGGCTTCACAGAGCATGAGTCGCCTCTTGATGATGATGCAACCCTGCCGTGGTAGATCATGTTTTTGGCGAGCCTCCTCTTGCCTCTGTTGCCATCTGGCTCTATTTTCCTACTTTGAACTTCTCTGGTCCCCCGCCCCCCCGAACCCTCTCGGACATGCGCAATCCCGATCCACGCACATGCAGTGCCGTCTCGTTTTTCTCTCTAAGGTTGAAGTTGGCCTCACAGCTGAGCGCCAGGACGCGTGGCTGTTCGTTCATCAGGGTCTCCGCTTTGAAAACAGCTTGTGACGTCCAAGTCCTTCGAAAACCTCAGGACAATCAATGGTTTTGGCCTTTTCTGGCTTTCCTGGAGGCCTTCTTGGAGGCCTCTTGGGCCAGCTTCGAGCCAACTTCGGCCATCTTTGTGGGTTCCTGGCACGTCGACGCCGTCGGGAGCCGTCTTGGGTGCCTCTCTGAACCGACTTGGGGTCCTCGTGGGGCGCTTCGGGGCCGTCTTGGAGGTCATCTTGGGCGTCTTGGAGGTCTCTTAGGCCGTCTTGGGGCCCTCTGGGGGCCGTCTTGGAGGCCTATTGGGTCCCTCTTGGAGGCCTCGTGGGCGATCTTGGGGCGACCTTGGGGGCCTCTTGGGTCTTCTTGGGCCGTCGGAAAGCCGAAAAGGCGCAAATACCAAAATCCTTCAAAAACCTAAGGGAAATCAATGATTTGGGCCTCGTCGGGCCTTCCTGGAGGACCTTTTGGAGGCCTCTTTTTGGGCCGTCTGGGAGGCCTCTTGGGAGCCTCTTGGGCCGTTTTGGGCCATCTTGAGGCAATTTTAGGCCGTCTTGGGTGCATCTTCGGCCGTCTTGGAGGCATCCTGGGCCCATCTTAGCCGTCTAGGAGGCTATCTTGGCCGTCTTGGAGGCGTCTTGGAGCCGTCTGGAACGGAAAAACCCTTTGCAACCATTTCTGTACAATCTTTCGGCATCTTTCCAGGTGGCCAGCGGGACGGGCCGAAGCCCCAGGAGGAGTTCTTTTGCAAAAAGAACCAAAACCAAAACCCATATCATCCGACACGCCAGGCACCCCAAAAGGGGGCGGCGGATCGAAGACGCCTACGGCGAATCACCGCCGCCCCCTGCCTTTCTGGAAGCGCCTATGTGGCCGAACGTTGAGGCCAGACCTGCCAAGCTATCGGACCATGTGTTCCCCGAATCGGTTTGGAAAGCCTTCGTGGAGCACGTGGGCATCTTGAAGGTCATCCTGGCCGTCTGGAGGCCATTTTGACTCTTCCAGGCCTTCTGGGAGGACGTCTTGGAGGGCTATTGGGCCGTCTTGGAGGCCATCTTGAGCGTCTTGGAGACCTCTTGGGCCGTCTTGGGGGCCTCTTGGGGCCGTGTCTTGGGCCTCTTGGGCGATCTTTGGGGGCACTTGGGCCGTCTCGGGCCGACGGAAGGCAGAAAATAAACAAAGGCCACAATCCTTCAAAAACCTATGGGAAATCAATGATTTGGGCCTTTTCGGGCCTTCCTGGAGGCCCTTTTGGAGGCCTCTTGGGCAGTCTTGGGCCCTCTTAGGGCCATGTTCGGCCGTCTTGGTGGGTTCCTGGTCCGTCTGACGCCGTCGGAAGCCCTCGGGGGGGCCTCTGGCCGACTTGGGGCCCTCTTGGAATGCTCCAGGGCCGTCTTGGAGGCCCATCTTGGGCGTCTTAAATGCCTCCTGTGCCGTCTTGGGAGCCTCTGGGGGCCCTCTTGGGTCGTTCTGGGGTAATCTTGGAGGCTTCTTGGGCGATCTTTCGGCGATCTTTGGGAGCTCTTGGGCCGTCTCGGGCCGTCGGAAGGTCGAAAAGAAGGAAATGTCAAAATCCGTCAAAAATCTCAGAAAAAAAAAACAATGGTTTTGGCCTCTTCTGGCCTTCCTGGAGGCCCTCTCGGGGGCCTCTTGGGCCAGCTTCGAGCCAACTTCGGCCATCTTGGTGGGCTCCTGGCACGTCTGACGCCGTCGGGGGCCGTCTTGGGGGCCTTTCTGGGCCGACTTGGGGCCCTCTTGGGGCGCTTCGGGGCCGTCTTGGAGGCCATCTTGGGCGTCTTGGTGGCCATCTTGGGCGTGGTGGAGGCCTCTTGGGCCGTCTTGGGGCCCTCTTGGGGCCGTCTTGGAGGCCACTTGGGCCGTCATGGGGCCCTCTTGGGGGCCTCTTGGGCGATCTTGGGGGCCTCTTGGGCCGTCTTGAGCCGTCGGATGCCGAGAAGAAGCAAATTCCAGAATCCTTCAAAAACCTAAGGAAAATCAATGATTTTGGCCTCTTCGGGCCCTCCTGGAGGACCTCTTGGAGGCCTCGTGGGCCATCTTGGAGGCCTCTGGGGGACTCTTGGGCCGTCTTGGGCCGTCTTGGACTCTCTTGGGCCGCCTTGGAGGCCGTCTTGGACCATCTTGGGCGGACTTGGAGGCCATCTTGGGCCATCTTCGCGATTTGTTGAGGATGTCCCGAGCGACACGGCCGTTTTTGGCGACGACAGACGGGTTTTCCGGGTGGCCGGTGGGACGGGCCGAAGCCCCAGGGGGAGTTCTTTTTGGAAAAAGAAGCAAAACCAAAACCCGTATCATTTGGCACGCCAGGCACCCCTTTGATAAATCAAAAGGGGGCGGCGGATCGAAGACGCCTACGGCGAATCACCGCCGCCCCCTGCCTTTTTGGAAGCGCCTTATGTGGCCGAACGTTGAGGCCAGACCTGCCAAGCTATCGGACCATGTTGTGTTCCCCGAATCGGTTTGGAAAGCCTTCGGGGAACACGTGGGCATCTTGAAGGTCATCTTGGCCGTCTGGAGGCCATTTTGACTCTTTCGGGCCTTCTTGGAGGACGTCTTGGAGGGCTCTTGGGCCGTCTTGGACGCCATCTTGAGCGTCTTGGAGACCTCTTGGGCCGTCTTGGGGTCTTGGGCGATCTTTCGGCGATCTTTGGGAGCTCTTGGGCCGTCTCGGGCCGTCGGAAGGTCGAAAAGAAGGAAAGGTCAAAATCCGTCAAAAACCTTAAGCAATGTTTTTGGCCTCTTCTGGCCTTCCTGGAGGCCCTCTTGGAGGCCTCTTGGGCCGTCTTGCGCCATCTTAGGTCCATGTCCGGCCGTTTTGGTGGGCTCCTGGTCCGTCTGACGCCGTCGGAAGCCGTTTGGGGGGCCTCTATGGGCCGACTTGGGGCCCTCTTGGAATGCTCCAGAGCCGTCTTGGCGGCCCATCTTGGGCGTCTTAAATGCCTCCTGTGCCGTCTTGGGGGCCTCTTGGGGCCGTCTTGGAGCCCTCTTAGGCCGTTCTGGGGCCATCTTGGAGGCCTCTTGGGCGATCTTTCGGCGATCTTCGGGGGCTCTTGGGCCGTCTCGGGCCATCGGAAGGCCGAAAAGAAGGAAATGTCAAAATCCGTCAAAAACCTTAGAAACAAACAATGTTTTTGGCCTCTTCTGGCCTTCCTGGAGGCCCTCTTGGGGGCCTCTTGGGCCGTCTTGGGCCATCTTCGAGCCAACTTCGGCCATCTTGGTGGGTTCCTGGCACGTCTGACGCCGTCGGGAGCCGTCTTGGGGGTCTTTCTGGGCCGACTTGGAGCCCTCTTTGGGCGCTTCGGGGCTGTCTTGGAGACCATCTTGGGCGTCTTGGAGGCCATCTTGGGCGTGTTGGAGGCCTCTTGGGCCGTCTTGGTGCCCTCTTGGGGCCGTCTTGGAGGCCACTTAGGCCGTCATGGGGCCCTTTGGGGGGCCTCTTGGGCGATCTTGGGGGCCTCTTGGGCCGTCTTGGGCCGTCGGAAAGCCGAAAAGGCGCAAATGCCAAAATTCTTCAAAAACCTAAGGAAAATCAATGATTTTGGCCCTTTCGGGCCTTCCTGGAGGACGTCTTGAAGGGCTCTTGGGCTGTCTTGGAGGCCTCTTGCGGGCCTGTTGGGCCGTCGTAGACCGTCTTGGGTACATCTTGGGCCGTCTTGGAGACGTCTTGGGGCCATCTAAGCCGTCTTGGAGGCCATTTTGGGCCGTCTTGGAGACGTTTTGGAGACCATCCTGGGCCATCTTGGCCGTCTTGAACGCCATCTTGGGCCAACTGGAGGAAACAGAGGCACGAATGCGTTTTGAG